AACCCAGCCCAACGTAGAACCTTCTTATGTGATTTGTTTATTCTGAGATAATGCTTTCTGCATAGTTTTCAATCCACTCTATCACAGTTACTCATTTGCAAGTGTTCTCATTTCCATGTTTTTTTCTGATTCTTTTTCCCACCTTAGTGTGCCAATGAGTCAGCCCTGACCCTGAATGTGCCATGCAACGTATGGAGCCCAGAGGCAGGCCTGCTGGACCTGTGGGTGATGAACCTGGTCCCTGCCTACCAGAAAGGCGATCTCTTCTATGTTGGCAACTTCCTCCACAATTATAGACAGTGGGCAACAATGGAGCAAGTGCTGGCTATTGTGTTTAAAAAGTGAGTGTTCCCCCTTCAAAACCGGGACTGTTCAGCTATTCCTGGCTGAGTTGTGGAATACTTGGCACCCCTCTGAACCTGTTGATTTCATGGGGGTGTTCTCATAGGAACTTGGCATGAGACAAAGAAGTCCATACCCTGCCTAGTTTCTTAGTAGTGGTCTGCAAAGTCATTTCCCAGAAAAGCTACTGGAACCTCAGAAGCTTGGTTACAGAGGGGCTAGGATTACAGGCATGTGCACAGGCACCCAACTCCTGCCCACACCTAGGTGACATTCCAGGAAATCGCATTTCCCATGAGGAAATAAGGTTTCATTAGCAACTGGATGTCTGTGAATAATGTAGACCCAAGACAGACTGGGTGTGGGGAAGGCGGGTGAACTGGAGGCTGAATCACCTCAGAGACCTCAGGGAGGGATTATGTTAGCTTTACATATTTATAACCCCTGAAGCTTTTATGTTTTTGTGTGTGTGCCAGTCCTGCAACCTGAACTCAGGGCCTGAGTGCTGTTTCTTTGGTGCTCAGAGCTACCACTACAGCATTTGAACCATAGGTGCAATTCTGGCCTTTGAAAAATTAGTGTCTTTAGACTTTTACTGACTAATGTCTGATCAGACTGTGCACCTCAGATCTCATGTTGCTGATGAGCTAGAATTTGAGGTATTAGCCACTGGCACATTTTCCTTGGACCAAATGCATATACCTCTCATAGAAGAATTTT